AAGCTCCTTCCCTGTTAAAAGGGAAAAACTGCAAGGGATAACATACCGAAAAGCGTATCAAATCGAAGGCAATTGCTTTTTCTTGCTGCAGAAATAACATAAAAATACTGTATCCTCTGTGCGGGGTATAACAATGACAAGGATATGCCAGTGCCGAGCCAGGGACCAGCAGCAGTACAACGAAGCAGACACAAATCGTGTAACCCAAGCAGGCAACAAGTTGCAACTTAACGTTGCCCACATCTTACAATGGACCACCTTGCCACTGTCTCTGTGTATCCCCCCCTTTGTGTGGCATTCGAAACATGAGCAGCCAGCAGCCAGCAGCCCGTTCTTGCTGCTTCGCTGGGAGTGTGTGAGCTGAGAAATTCTACAAATTCAGCGAAAAGTATTTTTCCACCTTTAAAACAGAAGGGCCAGAGGGAGTCGAGGTCGAAGGTGAGGCTGGAAAAAAAGAGAGAAATGATTTATGAATGTAAAAAGTTTTCGGACCAACTTTGTACGGCCGGCGCTCCCTTTGCTCGGGCTACATTGGGAATGGGTAGATATGGCATCCTCATGTTACGCACACACACACACACACACACAAGCACACATAAATATGAGTGGTGGATGGGTGTGGGGAGGGAGGGACAGACAGAGCCGTACGCTTAATGGAATTATAAAAATGTTAACTTCAGCAGAAATGCAAACCACCCACAACCACCCATTCTATCGCCGACATGTTCTAACCTTTCCTTTTTCCATCGAGCATATTCGGTTATGCATTCGGTTATAATTTGGTTTAACATTTGAAGTGGCTTTGTTTGTGCACTTAACAACAACAAAAAAGAGTTCACCGCAAACGATGAAAAATATTTGGCTAGACCCCCAAACACCAACACCAAGCAGAAAAAAAAAACCCCACTCGAGTGGGTCGAACTAATGATTCGGGCAGAGCCGCCACTATTGATTTGATTCGCTGAGGGAGTGAGGGAGTGAGGGAGAGATTAAAACTAAAGCAAAATGGGCACCCAAAAATAAAGGAGTAAAGATTCAACGTCAGCCGCAGACTGATATGTATAGGAAAAAATAAATATATATAGAGATATTTTATATAAATGTGCACGGATGAGGCTAGAGATGAGCACACAACCAAATGAATGTGGCTGGGGCCAATCCAATATACTTTTCAGAGCAAACACGAACACAACTTGAGGCCGCCAGCAGGCCTGTAGATGGCAGCGGCTGACACTTGAGGCCGCCAACCCGCACTCTTTTCCACCAAAAAGAATCGAAACAGGAATATGGAGAATATGGGTCTAGGATACACCCTTGCAGATCGATGGAGCAATGGATGGGACTCCATTTCGATGTAGCACAAAGCATCTGTGTTGCCAGCATCCAAACAAAATCATAATACCTCTCTGCAAAAAAGGGTATAAAGGGAAGAGCGGCATCACAAGCCAGCCAATTTCAGACCAAGTCCTGGAAATGGACCAACTCCAAGTGCTGTAGGTCCTGCTGCTGCTGCTGCTGCTGCTGCTACTGCTCCTTCTGCTCTCATCCGCTCTCCACGTTGATGTGTCTTATCTTGTCCTGCAGTGGCTGAGCGATGCCAGCGCATCCTGGAAGCTTTTTATCTTGGCGTCATGTTGATGTTTGTCGGAAACTTGATTATTTTCATCGTTCCCATTTTTTTTTGCAGTCCCAGCGAGAGAGTCTCCATGTGGCTGAAGATGTTTGGATGCTGGCGGCGCTTGAGAGCAAAGAAGCAGTCTGGGATTAGCCCTCCCCACAGCACCCACAAAATAGCAGGCAAAAACACGACAACCAAAAAAGAATACAACAAAAAATGAGTTCTACGTTATTTTGTGGGTAGAAAGTTGAAGAATAAAGAGTTTCGCAGCAATGTAAATGCAACTTTAACTTCGGAGTTCGGTTGGCGGTGTTCGGTGGTCGGTGGAAGTGTGGAAGGGGTCACAGGTTGCTCTGGTTTGGACTGTTTCCTGTGTTGTTCTCTTGACAAACAAGGAGCGCACACAGTGGTGAGTAAAATATGTTGTAATAAGAGCAGTTAACAACATGAGTGAGGCCAAGGCGAGCTGCACACGAAGAGCCAAGACACCTGAATGTCACGGCACGAACGTGTCTACAGTGGAGCTCTCAGCTAACGAACAAAAGGTGTTACGTTGCAGCAGAGTATAAAATGTATGGGGAAATAGTATCCAAACAGATTCAGTTCACGAAAAGAATCGAAAGTGCCCGAAATATTGCATTGAGAAATCGAAATAGTTCATGTAAATGCGCACGCATCATGCGGGGAAATACCACAAAATGTATAGTAATGTGAAAATAAATATTTCCCCAAATGAAAACCAAAATACTGAATGTGTATGCATGGCAAAACCGCTACAGGGGCACTCCACTGTGCCGCAGAGCATGGAAAGCAGCGGCGGGCAACGAAAGGAGCGCTCCTGACAACTGACAACTGACAACTCCTTTAAAATGTAGTTACTGTTGTTATTATTTAACCTTAATGAACTTAACAAGCTCGCACAACGACAACGAGGACGACGAGGACGACGAGGACGACATGCTGCCAGGCTGGCAGCAGTCGGACACAAGGAATTCCGCACCCACCTATAGACCACCCACACACACCACATGCAGCCAGCCAGTCAGACAGAGAGACAGACAAACGAACAAGTCAAACATAGTGGGAGAGAGGCGGTGGGCGAACACGATAAGTACGTATGTTGCTTTGGGGGCATACGCCCATCGTGTGTGTGCCATGTTCATGTCGCAAGAAATTTTCCAGCACTCAGTGGCGCAGGGTCACGTAACTCAAATAAAGCGCCAAAGCCACCAGCCGCAAAAAAAAACACACACAAAAAATCACAAAAGAATCCAGAGAAAACCAACAAAATGAACCGAAGACAGGCCAGAGCAGTGCAGGCCAGCCTGGGGTGTGCTGCTGGGGTGAGTGCAGGCCACCTTTAGGCCCTATCCCATGCACGTTGTGCATTTTGGTTCTGGCCAAAAACTGAGGCAAATTAAAAATGTTTTACAAATATTGGGAGAACGAGGCCGGCACACAGAGCGCGAAACGCTGCGGAACGCGGCAACTTAAATGGAAATGATTATTGTATATTTCAGCATCGGATGCTGAGGAACACTCTGAAGCGGCAGCTTCTATATATATTTTAGAATATTTTTAACACAATTTAAACTTACGATTTGATAGTCAAACTGGAGTTCCCGACCGCAGCGCACACACTTATTATGGATTTAAATTTAATGTTTGCCAAAGAGATGGAACTTTGAATAGACTTTAGTCTCAGTGGCAGCAGTCCAAAAGAAAATGAAAATTGTAAAAACAAATCAATAAAATATTCAATATCTAGTAGTTTTTGCTTTTGAAACTCCGTTTTATTCGGCATTCGAGCTGTCAAATGATGAGGCTCAGATATTTTTCAGTATAGTCGAGCAGCTCGCCGAGAGCACACGTAAAAATATTTCGGAATTTTGTTGTTTGAAAAAAAAATAGTAAAAACAAATTGAAACTTGAAGTGAAATCGGAACTAAACGGAACTAAAATTTAAATAGTTACCTGCGAGTTTTTTTTCAGTGTGATACCTCGAGCTAGGGGCAGGTGTCGCGAATATGCAAGACACCTGCCCCAATTCTAAATGAACGTGTCAAATCATTTTTAAATATAATTAAGAGGAAATTTATTTTTATACGGACAGTGAGTGATATACCCGTGCTATTTTTGTTTACATTAAACAGCAGAAATTTTTCTCTATATACTGCCTAATCCTCAGACAGCATAGAGATACATATTTTACTCGTCATGAATTCAAGACAGCAGAAACTCGTCACACTATACGAGTATTTCCCAAATATGCCATCCACACTCAACACCGCTGCTCGCAAGACACTAACAAATGGATAGATACTTAAATACTTAGGGCTGGCACCAACAATCAAGACCGCAGATCGCAAGACACTACATAGTCTTCAAACAGCAAATGGATAGAGAATTTACTCGACACACGTGATATTGGCAGAGTGAAGACCAGCACAGTAAGTAAGTAAAGTCTTGGTTTAATATTACGCACTGATACCCAACGCTCTATGATAGGGTTTGAGGGCTAACATTAAATACTTAAAAAGGAGCTACATACAATCATGTGCGAGCTGCAAAAGCTTTTCGACGGCTTCTCAAGACCATATCCACTACCAGGGCTAACCGTCGCAGAAAAACGATAAAATTAATCAACGAGCTACGATGCTGTAACTGCTGTCAGGACAAACGAATAAAGATCGCTGCACAGGCTACAAAGAAGCCGCCGGTGCCTCAAAAGTTAATTAAAAACAAAGTCATCTTCATCTGCGGGAATCATCATCTTGTACTGATAATCATCGCCGCTGTGTTTCTGGCCAGACATTACAGCCACTCTCAAGCCCATGGCAGAGGCGCCTGTGTCTCATCGTTTTGATACACCTTTACGGATTGCGAAGTGACTGAACACTGGACAGTGGAAACTGCAGACTGAACACTTCCCACTAGATGCCGAAAGACATTCACGAAAATGGGTAAGTGCATTCTATTTTTGGTGTTCGTTCGGCAAACAACTCTTTTTGGAGTAACATTTTCAGTAACATTGTTTTTTCTAATATTCAACATAAACTGAAGTTCCAGGTCAATTGTCGATTATTGATTAAATAACAAGAAAAAATAATAATAATGGGTAAGCGCATAATTTTTCACTTTTATGTAAGATATTCAACAATTTTTGGCTCCGTTGCTTTATATGAAGTTTGGCAGGAATTTATTGCTTTTGTGGTGCTGGATATCCTAACTGGAACACAAAGAAATGAGCTACAAATTATATCTCCAATTAATACGATGGTAAATATTAACAAATTTAATAAAACGTTCAAAATTTCAATAAAATATGGGAAGCATAAAATATAAAACAGTCCTCTTAAAAGATCACTTCGCAGGCCATAGAGGTGTATAAAAACGATGAGACACAGGCGCCGCTGAAATGGAATTGGGAGTGGTTGTAATGTCTGGCCAGAAACACCTGGGCGATGATACCCATCACAAGTATTGCCCCACAGAGGAAGATGACTTTCTTTTTAATTAACTCTTGAGGTACCGACGGCTTCTTTATAGCCTATGCAGCGATGTTTATTCGTTTGGCCTGACAGCAGTTACAGCATCGTAACTCGTTGACTAATTCTATCGTTTTGCTGCGACGGTTTGTCCTAGTACTGGATATGGTCTTGAAAAGTCCGTCGAAAAGCTTTTGTACCTCGCACATGATTGTATGTAGCTCTTTTTTTTAGTATTTAATTTTTTTTTTATTTATATAAACCTTTCCAAAAGGTAGCGATGCTTTTAAGAAACTGAGTATAATACTATAATCTGATACCCAACGCTCTTTGATAGTGTATGAGGGCTAACATTAAAGACATCATATTGATAAATAAGAATCAAAATGGGATTGAAATGCAACGTGCACACTAAAAATTGGTCATCGCAGTTGGCAGACTGAATGGAATGACAATGGAATTGCAGACTGAACACTTCACACTTCACACTAGACGCCGAAAGACCTTCACGATAATGGGTAAGTGCAACATTTTTCAGATATTCTGCCCCATTTTCGACTGTAAATTTAACCATGATTGAGCAACATTATTGTCATTTTCAGAATCAAAACGAAACGAACTCGAAAATGTACAATGGACAATTTATTGACAGTGATTATGATTTGAGATGTGGAGATGTGTGAAACGCGCCTTCAACTCTACCTCCGGAGTGGTGTGGAAAAGAGTTATTAAATAAATAACTAAAACAACAAATTATTTGAGTCTAAAGGCACCACAAATGCTTGTCTTAAAGGTACATCCGCTGGATCGTGTTCCGTACTTGAGGCACTGCCACATGGCGTTCCCAGTATTTGTGTGCTACTCGTATAAGAGAACGTCTTATACGGCTGTGGGCGTATAAAAGGTGACGGCCTGGCAACGAATGCTCGCATACGCTGGCTGGCCCTCGACACTACCAGCTGTATCCGCTGTCCTCGTGCAGAGTCCTGAAATGTGATGCTCCAACATCGTTAATAAATTCTCAAGAGAATGAAATGGGCACGTAAATGTGTGAATTGAAAGCCTTTCGTTGAATAAGAACCACAAGCAAAATAATTTAATATTCATCACAGCACTGTCAAAAATATAAATTTTGACATTTATCACCAAGAGTAGAATTATTTGTAATCAATAGCTTAAAATGTACAAGCGCACAAAGTATACATATATTTTCTTATGTACTTTGCATCGAGCTCCTTGTGTTGCCTTTTCTTTAATTTTCTACCTATGCTGGCATGAATCATTTAATGATGTAGTAATAGTAGGACTATTGAATTCATAACTGCATTTTTTGCTTACGAAAATTCAGGTGGGAGCTGGAATGTGGAGCTGGAGCTGAGCCTAGTGTGTGGATCTTATGGTGCAGAATTGCGGTTTCTGGTCTTTGGTTTTGGATTTCATTTTCACTTGTTATGCCTTTCAATGGTGCAGCAGCACTTGCAACAGTTGCATCCAGTCGATGGCCGCAAGCAGTTTTATATTTATTAAATTTATTTATTGAAAACGCAGCTCTGGCCCTCCGGTGTTCGATTGAGTGGAGGGTTTCATGTTTTAGGGCAGGCCATCGATATGCAAATTGATTGACAAACACTGGCCGGGCCACTCTCGCACATCAGATCTCGGGGAGTTGTGTTTTTTGTCACCAGTGGCTGCCTGCCACGTTGGGTATTGAATTGGATTTTGCAAATGGCTACAGAAGGAGCTTGCTCGCTGAGCTCGCCAGCGAGTCCTTATATATCGGAATCTTTGTGTGTAGCTTCCCGGCTGGATTGGCGAGGCGTGGCTGGGTCTGGGGCTGGGTTTGGGCTGCGGTTGGTGCGTCGGTCCATTTGACAAAATTAATTGTGACACGAACAATTACGATGGGGCTGGGTTGAGTTGGGCAGGGTAGAGCAGGATAGGGCAGAGTGCTGTGCTGCTGGGAGGACAATAAGGATATACATTTTAATTAAAGCACCTCGAGCAACTAATTACATTGCCAGGACGCTCGCCTTGGTATGCAGTTGCATGAGGAACAAAGCCAGCAAATAAGCGGGTCCCCTTCTGTGTGTGTGTGCGGTCTTTGTGGTAGCCAGAATGTCCTTGAGCATCTCTCTCTCTCTCTCTCTCTCTCTCTCTATCGCTCCATGAACCCCTGTGTGTGTGGGGGCACTTGATACATGGTTGCACAAATTGAATGCCCAAATTCTAAGCATACTCTTGAGCGCGACAAGTCCTCAGCGAACGGAGGTGAGGAGTGTCAGTGCTGCAGAGCGATTAGTAGATAGTCAATCGATATGGATACATTTCCATACAAAATATCTATAATTAATAACCAATTCAAGGTGACAGTGGCTGCCTTCTCTATGAAGCTTGTGTGAGAACTCTGGACACTCTGCTAGCTGCCAATTACCAATAGCCAGTGGTCTGCAATGCCTTGGATGGCCACGAAAAGCGTACTCAATAGAAAGCTATTGAAATACTTGGATGAAGAGGCAAGCCCAAGGGCTTATTCGGTATTCCCCAGTGTCCGATGCCACCCACTGATAGCAACACTTTCGTCACCTTTAACTACGGTCCTATCGTCACTCCATCGTCACGCCAGTAAAAGCCAAAACTGGCCAAAAACTTGCAGTTACTCTGTCTGTCTGTCTGTCTGTATTTCTGTCTGTCTGTCTGTACATCAGTCTGTGGATTTGCGACACACGCCCATAAATAAAATGCAAGACGCCAGCAAGCCGGCAGTTGGAGGCACAGCGCTGACAGGTTAATGTCAAATCGCACAGCCCCAAAACCAAAAAGCCAAAGGCAACAACCCAAACAAAAGGGTGACTAAAAAATTAAACGGTAGTTCTTTAGAATATAAAATACCCTTTAGCCTGAGGGCTTATCATCAGAAAGGATGTACAAATCTATCAACTAAAAAAGATAAAATTCTACCGCCAAATCGCGGCAGATAAGCAAAGACTTAAGATACATTTTCCTTCTGCTATTTTATGGCTCTACTCAAATACAGCACATCCTTTTGGTGCGCAAATCCTGGGTACGACAACAGCGAACGTCGACAAAGCGACAAAGTTTTTTCGTCAACGCCAGGACGAGGCGCCAGAAACGAAGGACAACTCCGGCTGACTGCCTGCCTGTCTGGCTGGCTGGCTGGCTGGCTGGAAAAAGCAACTCTGAAGCTGTCAACTGACAGTTATGAGAAAAAGTAAAGCTGACGAAGACATCAGCGGGGCAAATTTGTTTAGTCTTAGTCTCTGTCTTTCTCCGCGCCCTTGGCCCACTCCCTGCGCCTCCCCTGATGCCGTCTGCCCGCCTGCCATTTTGGTAATGATGGCTTAAAGGACGCCCCGCTGCGTCAATGTGTTTGCTTGACTGCGGGGTGGTGAATAGCGGGGGAAGCGCCGTTAACAGAGCATATCGTGGCGCTGCTTTTGGCGGGAATTAGGTGAGGCAGGGGGGAATTCATGGTTGTTGGATTTCGGGGGGTGTAGGGTGTCAACCGCTAAAAGGGCGTTAAGTGTTTTATTTACCCTCAAAATATAATTTATATTGTGGCTGGATGTGTGTGAAAGAGAAAGAGAAATGCTGAGTGACAGACTGGCAAGAGGATATCGTAAAAGAGATAGAAAGAGAGAGAGAGAGTCCCGTGTGGAAGAGGATTTTCTGTGAAGTGATTTAAATTTTAAGTACTTTTTGCATTTGTGTGTTGTTCCATACTCCCCTCTCTTCCGTCTTTTTTTTTCCACCACTTCTCAGTGTTTCTCTTACTGATTACTTTTCTCATTTTGCAAATTGACTTGATGACATTTTCGGGTAATTTACACAATTCTGATTATCCGTTCATTCCCGGATTGCAGCAGTTCCAACTCCCCTCATCAGGCAGGGCGGCAATCGGATGCCACAACCACGCGAGGAGTGAATGAGTTTGAGTCTTGTATAAGTCAAGATGGTTCAAATGTGTGTAGGTTTTTTTTGTTAACCATGGCATTAAGTGATCAATTACACAGCTATGCTTTCCAGCAGAGATATGCATGGTTACATAAATAATAAATTAAAATAAATAACAATTATTTGGGTTCATATCTGCCATTCAATGTACTACGTAAAAACAACAGTTGACGTTTCGTTACCATCAAGTGACGATGATTATTGACACATATAATTGGCCCGATGACATCTACGGAGCAGCAGCAGCTGCTGCTGCCAGAGCCTGGGCTGATGAACACTCGCCTTAATATAACCAATTATTTCGCACAAAAAACAAAACAACATAACTTTTCACACCGCCATCGTCTGTAGCAAAATGTGTCGAGCATTAATTTAATGTCACATTTAACCGTGGCTGCCTCTGCCCCTCCCCGCACCGTAGACTATGCCACTTTTTTGGGTGCTGTCGCGGCATTTGTGGGTCGCGCTTTGGCAAGTAAATTAAAATATTTTAATGAGTACAATTTATCACGCGCCAGCGGGGCTGGCAGAACGGTTTAAGCCGTTTGCGAGAGACCCCGTTACCCAGTGGCATTGTCCTTCGTCCTTCGTTCTGCATCCTTCATTCTTCATGCCTTGGCGTCCTTGGCGTCCTGTGGGTGCTGCTGGCTGATGGCGGCTCGCTGCCTGTGTGGCTGGGAGTTGCCGGTTGTTGGGTGGGGAGCTGGCAACTTGTTGCGACATTTAATTATTGGTGACAGTATAATCAAGTAAACTCGGCAAGAATTTCAATTTCATTTAATGGTTTAACACATTTTGCCAGCTTTCCCCAGGGTTAAGCCTCAAGTGTCGTGTAAACGAAGCTAAACGGACGGGGGGCAGGGCAGAGGAAGCGGTTAAAGCCCGACAAAAAAGGGTTTAAACCGGCTCTTGCCTCTCTCTGTCCCACTGCTTTTCTTATCATTGAACAATTAGTGGGAGCAAACAACAACAATACTTACATATAAACATTATGGCGCAGACAATTATTAGGGTTTTATGGATTTAAATGGTGGCTGGCTGGTGGCTGTCTGTAATAATCCCACACCAAAATGAAAGCGTTAAGCATGGGTGCTAAATGGCAAATGGTTGGGCTGTAGGGCAAATGCTAAAGCCCTAAAAAATGGACAAAAATGAATTGAGCATTTACAAAGAGAAAGAGTAAGCCAGCTAAAATGGGACGTCTAAAGAGAATGAAACCTGCCTCCTTCCGCGTCGCCAGCTGCCAATCGAAATGGGCCTAATACCAAAGGAGATAATAGCTTTGCTTATGGACCCACCTCACGTAAAATTGGTCAAAGTGGAAGATACAATGAAGCGCCAGCCCCATGTGAAGGTAAACAACTACGACCACAAGCATGGCGAGTGGAAGCTGCCCGAGGGCACAAAGTACCCTGATGAGAGCTCCCGAGAAATCACAAAAGCGCTTGAAAAGTGCTACCATACAGTCGCTAGGTGCGAGCTGCAATATGCAGCTCACTCCGTTCAGCGCCGAGAGACGTATTTTCGACAACGTCAAGGAGGAGATTGAAGCCAAGGGAGCCGTAGGCTGCGACCAGGAGAACTACGAGACCAACAAATTTGACCACCTGTCGGCTGCCGTGCGCGCTAGACTTGACACCCGATGATTCGTGGCAGAACCGCTGCTTGCAAATCACCGCTCCCCCTAGAAGCCCAGCAACGACTCCGCAGACCCCGTAGAAGCCGAAGATGCCAAAAACCCCGACGACGCCGAATAGAAGTTTATATGCAGTGGAAGAACTTTATTCGAGAGAGAGCTTCCATCCGCCTTCCTTGGCTTCCTCTGATGAAATAGACCCAGTGTCCGAAAATGAAGACTAAGTGATCCCATCTTTGGAGAGGAGCTTGGGTCGCTGTTTAAAACGCATTCCATGCACAAACACACAAAAGCAGAGAAAACGCCAAAAACAAAGAGCAAATCGAGGGCCAAACAAAGAGCAAAAGCAACCAAAACAAAACAAAAAGCAGCAAGCAAAAATACAAAAACCATTCCCACACACCAAAACAAAGAAGAGAAGAACTTGTCAGAAAGTGGAGTTGTCGACAATTTGAAATTGTTAATATT